TGGATAAATACATTTTATAAAATCATGTCTATAAAGCTGAATAAAAATTTAGAAATATCCACAATAATCTCTCCCACCCCCACTTTTTAAAATATTTTTTTCTTCCAAAGAAAAACGATTTAGAAGATAATAGACCACTAGCAATGTAGGATAAGCACTCAACCTCAAGGTCATTTTGAACTGCAAGGTTGGCAGTCACTCCTCCGAAACCCTATATAGGGTAGCTATGAGCCAGAACTGACTCAGTGGCACTTAACAACAACAACAACAACAACACAATGTTCAACAGACACACAGGGATCTTTTTCTGACTAAAGCTGAAATAGAAAGAACAGTGTCCTGCCAGGTCAGCATTCTTCCTGACACACCGTCTTGGGAGGTTCTTACCCAACTCCAACCCATTTATTATGCATTATGTGCAAACTGAAAAAAGAACAAAAAGAATGACTTTCCCAAATGCTCAGCTCTTTAGGGGTAGAGTAGGGGTTTGAATAGTGTTGCACAAAAGTCAGCTGAGAGCTGTTTTATTTCTGTGTTGTTTTATGACGTAGTAGTTTAGAACAGATGAGCTTAATACCAGAGTCACAGGAACTGGTCAGATGACAAAGATTTAGACATTCCTATGTTGTTATTAAAGGAGCTCTGGTAGCTAGTGGTTACGAATCGGGCTGTGAACCTTAGGGTCAGCAGTTCGAAACTACCAGCTGCTCTGCGGGAGAAAGAGGAGGCTTTCTGCTCCCACAAAGATTTACAGCCTCGGAAACCCTGTACAGGGTCGCTATGGGTCAGAATCGACTCGACGGCACTTAACAACAACAACAACAAATGTTGTTTGTTATCAGGAGTCCTGGTGTGGCGCTGTGGGTTAATGCGCCAGACTGCAAAGCCATTTGAACTGTAAGGTCGGCGGTTCAACCTCACCAGCTGCTCCTCGGACACCCTATACAGGGTTGCTATGGGTTGGAACCAACTCGATGGCACTCAACAACAACAACAAATGTTGTTATTAAGTACTATCAAGTCAATTTCGACTCATAGTGACTCTGTTTAGGGTTTCCAAGGATTGGTTGATGGGTTTGAATTGCCAATCTTTCAGTGGTTCTCCTATAGCGCCGCACCATATAACCCTTACTCCTTTGTATTTACCACTGCGTCCGAATTCCCAAAATAATTATTTTTCAGAGTTCCAAGAAAATAGTCTCTCAGAAACAAGAGAAACCACATAAACGTTATCATTTTTTTCCCCTAATGACTGAACTTTCATTTTTATGACTGTACTTTTAAGATCCTATTCAGAAGCTTGTCAGAGAAGCATGCTTAATTTTATTTCATCTTTTCTTAAGATATTTACCTCTACCTCATTTCATATTAACCTAACCAGATGGGAAAAATAATACTTCAATAAATCCAATCCAATTTTGTCCTAAAGGAATGAAATGAGACAAGTTCATTTTTATGCATCTGACTTTGGAATTCATACCACCACATCTGTTTAGATCTTATGATTCTACAAACCCTCTGTCCTTGAGTCAATTCCTCGCCATAGCGGCCCCATAGGACAGAGTAGAATTGCCTGATAGAGTTTCCAAGGGGAAATCTTTACAGAAACAGATTGCTACATATTTCTCCTACAGATCAACTGGTTGGTTCCAACCACCAACCTTTTTGCTACAGTCAGGCACTTCACTACTAAGTAGAAGATTTTTCAGAAATGGTTGACAAGACCATAAGTCAAGCAGAAGTTTCCTCCCAGATACTTTAACATTTTTCTTTTACGATTATGCATTTAGGCAACTGAATGGTTTAGTACAGAAATCAAGCAAAAATGACATCATTTTATCTTCTGTTCAAAGGACGTCTACATCTTGTATATGAAAATTTATTACTAATGCTTTCCTTGGCTTATATTTCAATTAGGATCACACTCGCTGATCATCTAGAAATCTAGAAGAGTATTTCCTGTCTTGAGAAAACGATTTTAAATCTCTCTTTAATTTTTTTTTTTTTTTTTAACAAATCCAAGGTAAAATCTTTGTGACATTGCCTAGGGAAGAATTTTAAAAGTGCAAAACTAAATCCAAATCCAACATCAAGCTGTCTGATTAAGCAATAGTTCCTTGGATCATAAAATTCTTTTGAAAAAAGATGCCATGGTATTTTTATTGAGTTTATGAGCTGAAAGGCATTTACAATTCCAAAAACAACAAAAGAATAAAAAAGAAGCACACATGTGTTGTTACTAAAAAAGGCACCAAAGATGTGTACTAGGCAGAATTGTTCCTGGGAAAAATTATGAAGCAGATGAAATCTGTGTTTATCACTTTTCCATGCCTTGTTTTGAGCTCATCTTCCATTTCTACCCTGCCCACTACCAGGGGTATTGCAGCATCATTTCTCTGTTGGATTCCTGGTTGTGTAAACGTATGACTTGTTTCAGGTGTTTCTGACTCCATGTACCCCTCCCTACCAACACTTAGGGTTGTTCTAGGGGACTGGACTAGTTGGTTTAAAAATGCAAAGTAAAATATTAATTATAGTTCATGGCTTTCTTATAGAAAAACATATTTGTTAAGAATTTTCAAGAAGAAATCTTCATTTGCTCAGCACTTGTTACTCAGTTTTTCTGTGATCCCAGTCCTGATGCTAGGGGAAGAGGATCAGCACTCTGAAACAGGTGGAAACTAGAAAAGCAAAACACAGGGCCAAGGCTGGGGCCCTCACAAAGAAGCGTAGCTAGGAAACACAGAAGTCAGAAAATAAGAAGTCCAATGCCAGCACTGTTGTTTGCTATTGTACCGTGCATAAGTCTCTTAGCTCTCTCTGTGTCTGAGCTTTTTCAGTTGTAAAAAGGGGAATCATAACATTTTTATGGTTAATAGGAAGAGTCTATTAAGGTTTAAAAAGGTTGTGGAAAAGATTAAATTAAAAGATAATGAAAACTTCTCCATAAATGTTTTCATATTCCCTCATATAAGTAGCATTGTATTGCTCAGTGTCTGGAATAATGACACTTAAGAGAGTTTGGGGTTGGTGGGGTGGGAACTGGCTAATGCTTTATATTTGCTTTAGTGAAAAATCTTCTATAGCTCTTTTTGAATTGGGAGGACAGGGCAGAGAAGACAGAGGAAAAATTGGACACTTTACCACTTATTGTTAAAACAGGAGGATAAAACAAAAACTTAATTGGCCAGTGTTCAAAAACACGTGAGACTTCTTCTGGTTCATGCCCATTATTCAAATATCGTTTGGAAATACATCAGTAGAATTATCTATAATTTTGAGGATGAGGTGACATATAGCACTATTTTAATCATTGGCAAAGAAACTTTTGTCATTGGTAAATGATGTAGATGATAAGATGGCTGACTTGTACTTCGTTTATGATGTTTATTAAGAGAAAAGTCCTTTCTCTTAGTCTCTGCAAACTGAATTGAGCTTAGCTGAAGGAGCTCTGGCAGTGTAGTGGTTACGAATCAGCCTGTGAGCCTCAAGGTCAGCAGATCAAAATTACCAGCTGTTCTGCGGGAGAGAGATGAGGTTTTCTGCTCCCATAAAGATTTACAGCCTCAGAAACCCTGTACAAGGTTGCTATGAGTTAGAACTGCTCCATGGCACATAACCACCACCCTGCAGTGGTTATTGTTAAAAGGACATTCAATCATCTAGAGGTTAGAGGCCAGAGGAAGAGAAGGGACAAAAGTGTGACTATCACAAACCTTGTAAATCACTGCTTTATTTCCCAGCATGCCTGCATTGATAGTTTATTGATTAGTAGCTACCCAGCATACTGAATCCCCATGTGAAAATATTGGAGCACAAAAATTGGGACACTGTGGTGTATGGGAAAGAGTAAAGACAGACTTGCTTTTAAAGAGCTATGATCTCTGTGTAGGATCCACACTGGACTGTGAACTACAGGACTGGCAGTTTAAACCCACCAGCTGCTCCTTGGAAACCCTATAAAAGGTGCTATGAGTAGGAACTGACTTGATGTTATACAACAACAATGATTTCTCTGGGAGAACAGTCTCCTATGGTTAAGCATTAACTCATAATATTTATAAGATAAGACCAACAGGATCCAGAAGAAACAGAAATTATTTCTGGTATGGCTATGAGGATGACTCCCAAAATACAAAGATATCTATGAAGGCAAGAATGTTTAGAAAAATATAGAGATAATAATATTGGGAACCATACATGTTTAAAGATAAAAAAAAACAAGTACGAGGGAACCATAATGTAATAGAGTAAGATAACCAGAGATTCCCTATTTGAAAAAGCAAAACATATATCAGTGAAGCAATTAAACATTTATGATTATTTATTCACATCTTACATTTAGCCTGAGGTGAGATTGTGTATTAAATAAGACTTCCCTTGAAATATCTGTAATTTAGGATAAAATACTGATAATCTGCAAAAAATTTTTATGTCAGCTTGGAGCTATGACATTATACTAGAAAAATCAAGTCAGCTCTTCATAGATAAAAATAATAAAGATAAAATATATTCAATCAAATTAAATTTGTGACAAAACATTCCCATATAAATATTTTATGATAAAAATGTCATGGTTTATATGACACATGGAAAATGTCTTTCCTCATTTGGAAATCGAACTTGGGAAAATTCATAATCAGTGCTTTGATTTGTCCTGCTCTCAAGCCCTGGTAAACCAGAAACCAAACCCACTGCCATTGAATACGTTCCATTTCCTAGTGATCTTCAACATCAGAGTAGAACTATTCCTTAGGATTTCTGAGACTATACATTTTTGCAGGAGCAGCTACCCTCATCTTTATCCTGCTTATGGACTGGTGGGTTTGAACCATCAATCCTGTAGTTAGCAGTCCAATGCTTAACCACCAGGGATCCTGAAACCATGGTTTTACAGCTCTAATTGTCCTACAAGGGAAGGGAATGTATGTGTGTGTGTGTGTGTGTGTGTGTGTGTGAATTGAGTTCACTGAGCACTCAAGAATGAACCCGGTACTCACCGGAGGACCCACTGGTCCTGGACTACCTATGGGACCCGTGCTTCCTGGTAGCCCAAATTCTCCTCTTTCTCCATCTTCTCCAGAAAGTCCTCTTCCTCCTGGGCTCCCCTACAACCCAAAAAATTTTTTTTCTTTATAAGGACACAGTGAAATAATGATACCACACAATAAGCAGATTTGGGGCTGATGCACATACACAAAAAATAGTTCGCATTTTAACAATTTCATATACTACTTCTCATTTATACATAATATTAATAGTATAATTTACCTTTACACCATCTTTACCCTGGAGTCCTTCTTCTCCAGGAACTCCTGGTTCACCCTATTTTGTAGCAAAAATAATATAATTAATTATTATGCTAAATAGATAATCTCAAATAGAAAAGTAAACTATTTTTTTTATTCCTGGCATCTAAAGAATGTAGCAGATTTGTTCACTTTTATTTCTCCTCTTACTTTATTTCCAAGGGAGGATTTGACAATATAATAAGCAGGATTTAATTTTTCTTGAAGAGCTCTGCAGATGATTTAAGAAGTCAGAGTGTTATATATTCAAATACAGGATGGTCTCAGAATTATAATAAATTTATGTAATTAAAGGTAATATAAAATTGATTTGATAGCTTTGGAAATTTATAGCTGGATCTATGTTTCTGAGTATAAGGAATATAAATGTAAACTCAATACAGTAAGGTTTTATAAATTACAGAATTTATAATGAATTAGTACACTTAATCCAATATGGCCACTCTGCCAGATTTTAGTTTTTCTCTGTTCTTTTCTTTGCAGAGAGGAGAGAGAAAGAGTAGGACCTGAAATATCAACAATCCGGATCTTGCAGAAATGTAGAGCTATCCACTGTGAAATTATTAAATAAATTCATGTTAGCTCTCCTGCTGCCTGAACTATTTAAAGATAAATTAATCAGTATTTTTTCACAGTTGCCCCATCTCTCCTACTATGGACACTTTCAATTACCCCTACTCTCCCTCAAAAGAAAAAATTAAAAAGAAAGAATATATAAAATATATCTTCCTGCTTTGCTTTTAGTAAGCAAACATTCCTCACTATTACCCTGTATATTATCGTTGGAAAATTCCTTACCAGAGTTCACAATAAAGTTTGTCTGTATTAGCACTACTTTTCAAACAATTGCAACTATTTAAAATTATTACCTTGAAACTTATTAATTTTATATGACTCACATTTTTTTGTTTCTTTGTTTTACTTTTTTTTCCCTGGAAAAATCCCATTATCTTTATCATTATTTTTCATTTTATTAGCTGAAATGAATGGCAGTTTGTTTTAATTTCTTCAAGATGACCAGATTTCAATCTTGATAGTTCAGAAAACCTCCCAAGAGTTGAATACTAGTATTTGTGAATTTCTTCTTAAGTCTAACATTAGTGACAACCAGTGATTCCACACATTTGGGAAGGGTTTTATAGAGTACATCTCAATTTTAGAATATGATATATGGTGTTGGATTCTAAATACTACTAAATTAAAATGTGAGCAGTGTTTGGCATATGGCTTTCAAAACTATGAAATAAAAATTTAAATTTCCTATCATGCATCAGAAAGATTTACTATATAATTTTTTGAAGTACTTAGACTGACAAGTTTTGAATCTCTGAAACAGGTCAGCCAGTCAGTGCATTTAGTGGGTTTCCAATAGGCACTTACCCGTACCCCTGGCTCACCAGCTCCTCCAACACTGCCTGGTGCACCAGCATCTCCCTGAAGAAACAAAGAGAAAGATGAATCTTTTTTCTATTAAACCATCATGAGGGATGGTAGTGGTGGTGGTGGTGTGCCCTATACAGGGTTTCCGAGGCCGTAAATCATTACAGGAGCTGAAAGCCTCATCTTTCTTCCATGGAACTGCTGATAGTTTCGAACTGCTGACCATGAGATTAGCAGCCCAACTCATAAACACTACGCTACCAGAGCTCCTTATCAGGTGCTCAAAATCACTCCCTGTTTTCCTATGCTGTCATTCCCTGCTTCCTAGGTGTCTTGATGGCACAAATGGAAAAGTTCATGGTGAATGTTTACCCTTCTCTTTGTTTTATACAAAGGTTACCTTTGCACCTGGCTCGCCTTGTAGACCAGATTCTCCCTCAATGCCTGGAGGTCCCTGAAAGAGAATGATATGACACAATATTTGTAAGGATTTCTCCATGAATTATAAAGGCAACAATAACCCCAGGGTGGTGGTTATGTGCCATTGAGTTGGCGCTGACTCATAGCAACCCTGTGTAGGGTTTCTGAGGCTATACATCTTTATAAGAGCAGAAAGTCTCACCTTTCTCTTGTGGAGTGACTGGTAGATTTATTTGAATTACGGAGCTTTCAGTAGCAGCCTAACTTGTAATCTACTATGCTACCAGGGTTCTGATAGTGTAGTGGTTGCGAGTTGGGCTGCTAACCTCAAGGTCAGCAGTTTGAAACTACCAGCCATTCCATGGGAGGAAGATGAGGCTTTCTGATCATGTAAAGACTTACAGTCTCGGAAACCCTATACAGGGTCGCTATGAGTCGGAACCAACTCCATGGCGTGCAACTACCACCAAGGTGAGGATGAGGAAGAGCAGCTTCATATGAAGACTAAGAAAGGCTTATAGAAAAATTAAGAGGGCAACTAAGAGAGAACAGTTTTACAGGCGCCAAGGGGAAATTGTTGCTTAATTTACTTAGTGAAGTCAACAAATAATAGAAATAAAATATATGAATTTTATGCTTTTAACAAATTTGGCTTATTATTCTAAAAGGTATTTTAAAAATAAGGGTCACTTCATAATAATCCTCAATAAAAATGATACCTTGCAGTGAAAAATTATAAAAGTTATAAAAATAAAACCAACCAAAACCAATGGTCTCTGAGTCACTTTGACTTATATAAACAGAGTAGAATTGCATTTCATAGTTTTCAAATCTGTGACCCTTTCTTCTGAGTTTGTCTAGGGGTGGGTTCAAACTACCAATCTTTCTATTAATAAAGAATGCTTAACTGTTTGCATCATCAAGTTAAGGGAATTAAAAAATTAAGTTTGTTGTTGGGAACATATACAACAAAACATACACCAACTCAATTGTTTCTAAGTGTACAATTTTACAACATTGATTCTTTTCCATTAACACAAACTCACTGCTTCTAAGTTTCCTATCTAACATATCCAATTTCTGTTGTAAGTTGGCTCCCTGACAATGGAAACTGGAAATGATAGATAGATCTGAAAGACCACAATCTAAACTATTGTTTGGTTTTAAGAAGACTTTAGGAGATACTTTTGGTTTAAGGTCTAAGGATTATCTCTAGGGAATAGTTTCAGGGGTTTGTCAGTACAAGAGAATTTGACAATTTGTGCAACACTTTCCTTCTTTCAATCAGGATTCTTCTATAGAATCTTTGATCAAATGTTTAGTAATGGTAGCTGGACACCAACCAGTTCTTCCGGTGTCAAGGCAAAAGGGGCAGCTAGTTGTTCATGGAGGCAGTTAGCCACATATTCCATATTCTCTTCCTATTCCTGACTCTGAAAGGAAAATATTTATCTGTTTTTTATTCTTTCATTTTCAATGATTTAAATGTAAGTAAGTGTTATATATTTAAATCAGGAATACAGAACAAGGAAGGTTGAAGAAGACTTGTTGCCTTTCAATTATGGTGTTGGTTAAGAATAGTAAATAAACCATGGTCTGCCTGAAGAATGAACAAATCTGTGTTGGAAGAAGTACAAACAAAATTCCCCTTTAGAAGTGAGGATGGTGAAATCATATCTCATGCACTTTGGAGATGTTATCAGAAGGGTACAGTCCTTGGAGAAGTACATCATGTTTGGTAAAATGGAGGGTCAGTGAAAAAGAGTAAGACCCCAAAAGGAATGAACTGAGACAGTGGTTGCAAAATGAGGTTCAATCATAACAACCATTGTGAGGATGGTGTGGGTCTAGACAATGTTTTGTACAATTGTTCATAGGATCGCTATGAGTCTGAATGGACTTGACAGCACCTAACAACAACAATAAAATATTGTTCATACAACAGTCATCCCTGTTATTAATGGATTTTCTTTTTCTCAACAGGACACAAAATGCTGAATAATTATCCTTGATAACATATCCGATATATCAACTTTGGTGGAGTGTTACAAAAACTATTGGGTATTGATAAACTAACAAGAAAAAGCCACAAAAGATTACCTCAGTACCCATTTCTCCAGGAGGTCCAGCATCACCTGGCAGTCCTCGTGATCCCTATATTAAAAGTTAATTTTAAAATTTCAGAATTAAAGTTGAGTTGATATTTCAATAAATGTATGCATCTAAATATGGAATTTCCCCACTCGTCTGTCAGCTTGCCATATTGTGATGACTTGTGTGTTGTTGTGATGCTGGAAGCTATGTCACTGGTGTTACAAACACCAGCAGGGTCAGTCATGGTGGACAGGTTTCAGAGATGAAAACTTGTCAGGCTAAAAACTTTATAGAATTGCATAACAACTCTTTCTAATATGTTATAGAAAACTTGAGTCTTTACTTCATAATTTTGAAAGTCATACACCAAACTCTGTTCACATTGCAATTTAGTAGTGTTTCATTTTATAAAAATGGAATCCTTCCCAAATATGGGGGATTACTGCAATAATCACTAATGTTAGGATTAAGAAAAAATTCACAAATACCAGGGATCAAATCTCAGGAACTCTTCTGAACTATCAAATGATTGAAATCTATTCATGTCAGAAAACAACAACAGTAACAACAACAAAACCTAGTGTCATATAAAATTAACAGGATTCAAGGTTAATATTTGCAAATATTATTTCAGTTAATTAATTCCTAGGATATTAATTCATTCCATTTTATTATTGATAACTTTTAATTTTATAGATTCATACTTCATACATTTCACATATCATTTATTAATAGATGCATGTAGCTGTTTCTTCTCATTTTGAGTCATGCTCCATGAGCAAATGAAGGTTCTGAAAGCTTTACCCATTCATGTCATTAAGGTCAACTCTAAGGAGGCAACACTTTCCTCACGGAGTTCCTTCCTGACTTCTATATCACACAATGTTACATTGCTATTCATAAAGTTTTCAGGGTAGCATAGTGGTTATGAATTGGGCTGTTAACCTCAAGGTCAGCAGTTCGAAACTACCAGCGGTTCCATGGGAGAAAGATGAGGCATTCTGCTCCTGTAAAGATTTTCATCCTTGGAAACCCTGTGCAGGGTCACTATAAGTCGGAACCGACTCCACGGTACTTAACAACAGCAACAATAATCCCTCAGAAGTATGGCATACTATGCTAAGCATTGACAGGTTATCTTGTTTGGAAAATATGATTGCTGTAACTCTACTTAATATTCCTGGTGATTATGTGAATATGTGACAAATGAAATAGCATTTTGTAGGAAGCAAATATAGTCTCCAATGAAATAATAAACGTGGGAATTTGCTTGATGAGAAACTTTATTCTGATAGTAAATTCACTTGAACAAGTCTATTTCACATTGTTTTTGTTGTTGTTAAGTGCTGTCGAGTCGGTTCTGACCAATAGTGACCCCGTATAGTGTTTCCGAGGAGCAGCTGCTGAGCTTCAACTGCTGACCTTGCAGTTTAAACAGCTTTGCAGTCTGGCGCATTAACTCACAGCACCCCACCAGGACTCCCTATTTCACATTAATAGATATAAAAATGCTTACATGAAAAAGTAAATAAGGTGCAATAAAAATGTATGTTGAGAATTCTGTGGACCATTTGGTCACTGTGTTACTAAATGGAATCATTTTAAGTAACTGAATATTAAAATCAGCTTATTAAAGAAACAAATTATTGACCTTGGTGGATCTATTTATCAATATATGGAAACCATTAAACTGGCTTTAATTATTAAAGGTAGATTAATATTTAGCAACTACACTATGGGTAAATTCACTGGACGGCAAGGTCGTTTTGAACCTCAAGGTCAGTGGTTCAAGCTCACCAGCTGCTCCTCTGAAACCCTATACAGGGTCACTATGAGTAGGAACTGACTCAACGGCACTCAACAACAACAATGATACTATATTCATACAATGATATTTCTACAGTCATAAGAAGAAACTGCTTGTAATTTTTGTTCTTTATGGAGATTAAGTACAAATAAGGGTTTCTTTTTTGTTTTAATGATTAAGAAAATAACAATATATATTTTTTCTCAGTCCTGTTCTGTGGTTTAAATCTACCAGCTTCTCCTCAGAAACCTTATGCAGGTTTGCTCTGAGTTGGAATTGACTAGTGGCATTTAACAAAAACAGCAAACTCTTTCCTTAGATTGTTGTTGCTGGGTTCCATCAACTCAGTACCGACTCATAGCAACCCTATGCACAACAGAAGGAAACACTGCCCAATCTTGGGTAAACCTCACAATTGTTGCCATGCTTGAGCCCATTGATGCTGCCACTTTGCCAATCCATCTCGCTGGGGGTCTTCTTCTTTTTCTCTGACCCTCCACCTTACCAAATATGATATCCTTCTCCAGCGACTGGTTCCTCCTGACAATATGTCCAAAGTATGAGATGAAGTTTGGCCATCCCAATCTCCAAGGAGCACTCTGGCTGTGCTTCTTCTAACACAGATCTGTTGGTTCTTTTGGCAGCCCATGGCACTTTCAATATGCTCCTCCAACACCATAACTCAAAAGCATCAATTCTTCTACATTCTTCCTTATTCACTGTCCAACTTTCACATGCATATGAGGTTACTAAAAATACCATGGATTGGGTCAGGCGCACCTTAGTCCTAGAGTTGACATCTTTGCTCTTCAACACTTTAAAAAGGTCTTGTGCAGCAGATTTGCCTAATGCAATACGTCATTTGATTTCTTGACTACTGCTTCCATGAGTATTGATAGTTGATCCAAGAAGAATGAAGTACTTGACAACTTCAATCTTTTCTCCGTTGATAAGAATGTTGTTTATTGGTCCAGTGGTGAGGATTTTTGTTTTCTTTGCATTGAGGTGCAATCCATACAGAAGACTGTGGTCTTTGATCTTCATCAGTAAGTATGTAAGTCCTCTTCACTTTCAGCAAGCAAGGTTGTGTCATTTGCATATTGCAGGTTGTTAATGAGTCTTCCTCCAATCCTGATGCAATAACTGTGATATTTAAAAATCATCTGCTATGAGCTTCACATTCAACTGCCAGCTTGACATTTCCACTACAATTTCTCCAAGACACCTCATATTCAATATAATTAAACTGAATTTAAGGAGTCCTGGTATGGCACTGTGGGTTAATGCTCTGGACTGCAAAGTTGGTTTGAAATGCAAGGCCGGCTGCTCAAGCTCACCACTTGCTCCTCAGAAACTATATACAGTGTCACTATGGGTTGGAACTAACTTGATGGCATGTAACAACAACAAACTGAATTTATAATCTTCCATTCTCAAACAGTGGTCTGCCAGTTTGCCCTAATGTGGTGGCCTGTGTGTTGCTGTGATGCTGAAAGCTATGCCACTGGTATTTGAAATACCAGCAGGATCACCCAGTTGGACAAATTTCAGTATAGCTTTTAGACTAGGGCAGACTAGGAAGAAGAAGAGGAAGACTACTTCTGAATGTTTACTCACTGAAATTTTCATAAATAGCAAAATAACATGATCAGATATAGTGTATGAAGATGAGCCCCTCAGGTTGGAAGGCACTCAAAACAAGATTGGGAAAGAGATTTCTCCTCAATGTAGAGTTGACAATGAAGATACAAATGCGATACAGCTTTTAGGACATTCATTTGCTGATGGGCCACAACTCAAAATGAGGAGCAACAATCCCAAACACACTTTAATAATTAGAACATGGAATGTATAAAGCATGAATCTAGGAAAATTAGAAGTTTCCAAAAAATGAAATGGAACGCATGAAGATCAATATCCTAGGCATTAGTGAGCTGAAATGGATTGGTAGGCCATTTTGAATCTGATAGCAAATTAAAGAGGAATGACATCACATTCTTCATCAAAAGTATATTTCCTGATCTACTTTGAAGTACAATGCTATCTGTGATAGGATAATATCCACATACTTATAAGAAAGACCAGTTAATATCACTATTTAAAAAAAAAATGTACACACCAACCACTAAAGCCAGTAATGATGAAATTAAAAAATTATATTCACTTTTTCAGTCTGAATTGGTCAAACATGCAATCAATATGTATTAAAAATTACTTATAATTGGAATGCAAAGTTTGGAAATAAAGAGGCAGGATCAGTAGTTGGAACATTTGGTCTTGGTAATAGAAATGAAGCTAGTGATTGCATGATAGAAATTTGCAAGACCAATGATTGACCCATTGCAAATACCTTTTTTAAACAACATAAAAGATGACTATACACTTGGACTTCACCAGATGGAATACAGAGAAATCAAGTTGACTACATCTGTGGAAAGAGATAGTGGAAAAGCTCCATATCATTAGCCAAAACAAGGCCAGGGACAGACTGTGGAATAGACCACCAATTGCTCATATGCAAGTTAAGGCTGAAGCTGAAAAAATTTAAACCAAGTACATGAGAACTAAAATATGGCCTGAATATCTCCCATCTGGATTTAGCGATCCTAAAGAACAGATTTGATGCATTATACACTACTTACCAAACCCCAGAAAAGCTGTGGGATGACATCAAGAACATCATACAGGAAGAAAAAGAAAGGTCATTAAGAAGGCATGAAAGAAGGAAAAGACTGAAATGGATGTCCAAAGAAACTCAGAAACTTGTTTTCCAGTGTAGAAATGCTAAAGCAATTGAAAGAAATGAGGTACTAAAAGAGCTGAACAGACAATTTCAAAGACAAGATGGAGAAGACAAAGTCAAGCATTATAATCAAATGTGCAAGGACCTGGAGTTAGAAAATAAAAAGGGAAGAACATGCTCAATATTTTTCAAACTGAAGAACTGAAGAAAAATATTCAAATCTTGACTTGAAATATTGAAGGATTCTAAGGACAACATCTTGAATGATGCAGACAACATCTAAAGAAGATGGAAGATACACAGAGCTACTGTACCAAAATGAAATGATGAAATGTTCAACCATTTCATGGAGTAGCATATAATCAAGAATGGATGATACTGAAGAAAGAATTCCAAGCTTCACTGAAAGCACTGGCGAAAAACAGGGCTCCAGGAATTGATGGAATAAAAATTGAAATCTTTCATCAAACCAATGAAGCACTGGAGGCACTCAATAATGTATGCCAACAAAAATGGAAGGCAGCTACCTGGAAGATATTAGAAGAAATCCATATTTGTATCCATTCCAAAGAGAAGTGACCTGCTGGAATGCAGAAATCATCAAACAATGTCATTAATATCACATGCAAGTACATTTTTGTTGAAGATAACTATAATAGGATATTGACAGGGAATTGCCACAAATTCAAGCCAGATTCAGAAGAGAATGTGGAACAAAAGTTATCATTGCTGATGTCAAATGGATCTTGGTTGAAAACAGAGAAAACCAGAAAGATGTTTACCTGTGCTTTACTTACTATGCAAAGGTTTTTGACTGTGTGGATCATGAAAAGTTATGGACAACATTGTAAAGACTGGATATTCCAGAACAGATAATTGTGCTCTTGAGGAACCTGTACATAAACCAAGAGGCAGTCATTCAAACAAAACAATGTAATACTGAATGGTTTAAAATCTGGAAAGGTGTGCACCAGGGTTGTATCCTTTTACCATACTTACTCAATTTGTATGCTGAGCAAATAATCCATGAAGCTGCATTACATGAAGAAGAAACTGACATCAGAATTGGAGGAAGACTCATTAACAACCTATGATATGCAGATGATAGATGCAATGTTGCTTTTTGTTAATGAAGAAGTTTTACAATACTTACTGATAAAGATAAAAGAATGCAGCCTTCAGTATGGATTGCACCTCAACATAAAGAAAACAAAAATCCTCACAACTGGACCAATAAATAACATGATACGTGGAGAAAAGGTTGACGTTGTCAAAGATTGCATTTTTCTTGAATCCACTATCAATATTCATGCCACCAGCAGTAAAGAAATCAAATGACATAATTCATTAGGCAAATATGCTGCATAAGACCCCTGTCAAGTATTTAAGATTAAAGACATTAGTTTGATGAATAAGGTGGGCCTGAACCAAGCCAAGGTATTTTCAATAGCCTCATATGCATGTGAAAGTCAGAGAGTGAATAAGGAAGATTATAAAATAATTGATGCATTTGAGTTATAGTGTTGAAGAAGATTACTGAAAGTACCATGGACTACCAGAAGAACACCCAAATCTGTATTAGAAGAAGTACAGCCAGAATGTTTCACAGAAGCCAGAACACAAAACTTTGTCTCTCATACTTCAGCCATATTATTAGGAGGGGCCAGTCCCTGGAGAAGGACATCATGCTTGGTAAATTGGAGAGGTAGAAAAACAAGGAAGACCCCTAATGATAGACTGGCACAGTACACGTAGCAATGGGCCCAAGCATAACAACAATTGTGAGAATGGTGCAGGATTGTGAAGTGTTTCTTTTTATTGTGCATAGAGTCACTATAAGTTGGAGATGACTCAATGACTTCTAACAACTATTCTTAAGCATGGTTTTCTGTTTTTTTTTTTCTAGTTTAGAAAATGGTAACATCATCTAATTCTACTTAAGCTAGAAATTTAGAAACCATATTTGACATATGGGGCACCTATGTCCTGTGAATTTTATCTCCTCTAGGATCTCTTACTTCTTTTATTTGTTAACAAAATGATTCTATCATCGCTTGTCTGGATTACTGCAACAGATAGCCATTCTTGCCCATTCTCAACACTTTCTGAATTGCTCTCCACCTTGTGGTCTGAGTGATCATTTCAAGACAGTATCTAATCATAAAACTTGTCCTACTCCTTCAATGACTTTAGTTGTTCTTAGGATAAATATTTATCTTTGGGAATATGGCTCATAAAGAGTATGTCGTTATAAGAATAGCAGAGACAAGAGCTATAGATTTGCACACACACACAATGTATGTGTTTTGCTTCTGTTTCCCTTTCCAGGCCCATTTTGCATGTATTTTTCACTTGACTCTCCATATTTTAGCCAAACTGGCCTTTTAAGTTTTTTAGTTTGTCAAATAAATATGCAGCACTTCCTCCCAGCTCATGACTTCTCTTTAGAATGACTTTTCCTCATCTTTCTCCATGTAGCTACTTTTCATCTTTCATATCATAGTTCCATGGCCCTCCTTGCCTTCTGATTAGGACAGTTTCTCTGTTATAGATCCTCCTTGTATGGATTCCTAGTACTCATATCATTTTAGTTTGAAATTATTTAATTTATGTGTGCATCTATCACTAGATTGAAAACTTCATGCTTACCCCAGGTGTTGTTGCTGTTAAGTGCCACTGAGTTGGTGGGATTCACAGTGAGCCTATACACAACAGAATGACATACTGCCTGCTCCTGTGCCATCTTCACAATTGTTATGTTTGAGCCCTTTGTTTCTGCCACTGTGCCAGAATCCCAAGTGTGGGTTCTCAAATATTTATTGATTGAATGAAGGAATGAATAGTCAGCTATTCAAATCCAAATATATCCATTGTTTTAAATTTTATCTGGGATAAAGAATAACTGTTAAAGAGATGTCTGCTACAGAAAGACGATAGTACTCTATTTTTAATATTCTCAAAATAGGTTTTAATATGTCTTCTATGCTCTTTATTTTACTGACTTACTTGTTCTTTTCTACAATTAAGACCTGTTGCTGTAGTTGCTAAATGTCATCGAGTTGGTTCCAACTCATTGTGACCCTATAAAGGGTTTCCACGGCTGTAAATCTTTTCAGGAGCAGACAGTCTCATCTTTTTCCCACAAAGTTGCTGGTTAGCAGTCCAACACTTATCCTACATTGCCGCATGCTCCAAAATATTAGCATTAGAACCCAAGTAAATGAAACAGAGCCCAGTATAACCTATTACGAATTTATTTATATTTATCAGCCCTCACCCCTGAATCTAAGACCTTGAAATCAATTTCAGGTGTTGTTATACAATTTGATCATGTAGAGCTATAGTTAACAAAGCTTTTCTGAAGTAAATGTTTAGGTATTGCCTTTGCTGTTGCCAGACATGTAATACTTTACTCAAAGATATTCTTTAGTAAGACTTAACTAATTTTAATTTCATATTACTTCATCCAATGTTATTGGCTGAATGATTATGTCTTTGAATAGATCCCCCTTTGGCAAGTCAGTTCAATGAACACGTATCAGACAAACACAATAAGCCAGACATAAAACCAGGAAAAAAGGTTACAAAATGGAAAAAAAAAAAAAGGTCTCTGACTTCACAGGGACTTACAGAACTTTTAGTGGAGACAAATATTTAAATAAATGATGATGGTAAACAGCATTATTTTAAGCCAAATAGAATTGGGATGGTAGTTAAGAGATATACAACAGGGAGAAAACTGAGAAGGATTTAGTTGGATAAAATACACATCATATCATATGGCTGTGTGCCGTGGAGTCGGTTCCGACTCATAGCAACCCTGTACAGGGTTTCTGAGGCTGTAAATCTTTACAGGAGCAGAATGCCTCACCTTTCTCCCACGAAACAACTGGTAGTTTCAAATTGCTGACCTTGCGGTTCACAGCCCAATTCGTAACCACTACACTACTCATTGTATAAAATTGCCACACAATGAGTAAATATCTGAATATATATTCAGATATTTACTCATTGTGTGGCAAATTTATATCATAGTTTAAATATTCAGAGGAGGCAATCAGCACAGTTTGGTAAGACTAGCTCTAAGATTTTCCATTTTCTACAAGAGAAATACGTTACACAAAAGTCACCTACAACCTTTGTAACAGCTGAAGGATAAGATCAGCCCAGTAGGCTGAAGGAACATACTGCATTACAAATCTTAGAAGCACATTCCAGCACATTATATCTAACACCACTAACCAGACGAATGACTTCATAGGCAATAAAGACTCAATTGTGAGAAAGAAGGGGTGACAGAGTCTTCCCTTTCACAATCCATTTTTTTCATGGACACTCTATAACTAAATCATATTTATGAAACTCTGATGCACATTTTTGTATTACTGATATAACAGCTTTTCTGTCATATTTGTACATTTTGACCCATCAAATGTAGTTTGGCTTCTCTGTATGGCCTTTATAAAATTGATCTCATAAATGTGATTGTACATGTGTGGTAATGCAAAAAATATAAAAACAGCAACTTGTTTAAAATAAGAATTTCTGCGATTCAATAAAACAAAGTTTTCTTTAAATAGAAATATGCTCAGCTTTAACAGTTCCATAAAAACAATACCAATTTAAGTTATTTGAAACCAGAAAGGCACTAAAAACTGTCACAGCAAAATATCTATTTAATATAAGTAGTTTATGGTGCTTATGATAAATGCAGCTTCCAAATATATACCAGCCATAGCAGAACAGGGCAAAAATGTATGTTATGAGAATAACACAATTAGAAAAAGTATGAAGATAAACTTACTGGTTCACCTGCAAGTCCCCTGTCTCCTGTGCTCCCAGGGGGTCCTGGAAAACCCTGTGTAAAGATGTTCAACACTCTTAGCAATATACATGTTTCTAAGTTTTAATTATCAATGCTATTTTCAGATACGTAAAGTTCTTTTGTTGAAGACAGAAAAATATGTAAAATCATAGGCTCCTATGTGATCAAGGCCCTGTTGCAGCCATGAAAATTATTTGTTACCCATTCGCTCTTGGTGTGGTACTGTAGGATTAGCCCTGGACTGCGAACCACAAGGATGGCAGTTCAAACTTACTACCTGCTCCTCAGAAACCCAATACAGGGTCACTATGAGTTGGAACTGACTCGACAGCACTTAACAACAATAACAACAACAATCCATTATCTCCAGGCAACTAAAACTGATACAGGATCAATATAAGGGGAACTTCTGGGACTTGTGTAAGTTATGATGAAAGTTCACAGCCTTTGTCTGTCCCACTAACTTTGTAGTGTATGTTTGTCATTGTTGTTAAGTGCTGTCAAGTCGATTCCGGCCCATATCGACCTGAATAGGGTTTCCAAGGAGCAGCTGGTGAGCTTGAACCACCGACCTTGCAGTTTAAATGACTTTGCATTCTGATGCATTAGCCCACAGAGCCACACCAGGACCGTGTATGTTTAGATACTATCAAACTTAATAAATATATTTGATGATGTTAATGGTACATATCTGACAGCATTATAGTACCTTTTAAGGAGCTCTGGTAGC